AGCCTGCTTAATGTTTTGGATCAGTTTATTAAAAACATCTAGGTTTTCATCAATATCTTTTGTTAGGTCAAGTCTGAACCTAAAAAAAATTTCCAACAAAAACAGTTTGCAAGGAAGGGAAGTATCAGTATATAGAGACTCAAGTTTGTCCCAGAGGGCTTTAGGTATATGGTTGAGCAGGCTGTTTCATTCATTTCAACTTGTTTAGGTTTATCCTCAGTTTCTAAGTATTGCCCAGTAACAGCTCTAAACACTTTCTGTTGAATTAACACACATTTTATTTTATGTTTCCATATATCAAAGTCAGTGTTTCCATTAAAAGGCATCATTCCATATAAGTTTGAAGCCATGATAACAGACCAATCACCAAGCTACTGAGATACAGGTAATATAAAGGCTAACCCTAGTGGTTCAGGCCGCGGACTAAGTGACCACGCAGTTCTAGGGCCATTGAAGTGGCTGGTAGGGTATCACTTAGCCCTAACCTCAGGTGCCTTAGCCAGCTAGGGGTTAGAAGCCACACTATTACCCGAACTCAAAAAACAGTGGTTGACAGAACTGACTTGATCAGAAGAACTAACAAATATAATCACAACAGAAATAAGGAAAGCTGCAACAAACAGAGAGAGGTTCTGAGGCAATAACACAGAGGGGTAGCAAATTAAAGAACACAACACACAGAGAGTCAATTTAACAAGCCAATCAAAGTTCACAGATAACCAGTGGCCAAGTTCGACACAGATTGGACCACTCATGCACAATCGAACCACACCTAGGGTTTCTACAGATCTGTACTAACAGATACTGTACATGCAAGGTTTTTTAGATTGTTGCTCAGAGAGAGCAAGTCTACCCATGCAGCACAGAAGCCGGTGGCACTCCGGCAGCCCAAGGGTTAGGGTTTTAGTGTTATACCTGAGCGGGTGTCCAGCAAAGACAACCCGACTTACCACTTCTGATGGTGCTCCAGGTGTTACTAGTTCGGGTGATCTCCGGCGAATTTCCGGCGTCGGCGAGAGGTGGCAGCGTCCAGGCTCTGATACCACTGTTGGGAATCCGGACCGGCTCATACCTCAATCACCATAGCCCAAAGGCTTGCTCAGCATTCACCACCAAGGTTGCAGTAGGGAAGATGGAAGGGCAACAGTCAACTACACTCAAATATAGAGCCCAACCCCCCAGACCAAAGCCCCAGAGAAAACCCACCGGAGAGTAGTCCCAAACTACCAGACCAGAGTGAAGCCCACCAAAGGATCCCCAAGGAATCACCGAAGGTTAGCCGGAGCTCAACCCAACAGTGAAACCGACACTCTCTCACTCTAGAACCAGGGCAACACACTGAAGAGCACATCGGATAGAGAGAAGGAGGAGCAGGTGAAATAGGAGGTTCGAGAAGGAACCAGACAAATAAATCAAAGGGCCACAGGGTCACGGGCTGGCTAGGAAACAAAGAAGGGCGAATGGGCTTGGTCGAGTAGACAGCCCAAATGGGCCAGAACATTTAATAGGAGACCAGACTATTAATGGGGTGGACCTAGGCTTAATTGAGGTGGACCAATACCATCAACACAGAAAACTCAGCAAACACATTTTTTCGTCAATCAGTAAACCCAACCCATTCCCTAAACCATAACACCCTGACACACATGTCACTTAGGGTTTTTTCCTGATGAATCATCTATCCACCGCCTTCCAGTCTCTATTTTGATCTCCTTGCTTCTGTGCTTCACAAATATTTTTTTCTTTAGATCAACCAATATCAACTCCACACTTTCTTTTTTTATATATACTGTCTTTTGTGATGGATCCTTGGATGAAAATTATTTCAAACACCCGACTCAAACTGTTCACCTCAATCTGTACAATAGTTTAGTTTTTGAGATGAAGGGTAGTAGAAGATCGATCAAACTTGGAGTATTCCTATCAAACTTGGAATATTCCTATCCATGTTGTTTTTGTTCAATTTTTCTTTTAAGTTTTTGTGGGCAAAAGGTTCGTCCATGATCTCATTTACTTGAGGTCCACTATGTGTACTGTTGGACTGTTATATTTACAGTGAAAAGTGCGGAGTCCACTAATTTGAAACAACAGTTAAAAAATTATTACCAGGCAAAGCCCTTTTTTCATCCCATTCTCTCATTAAATTCCTGGGGCAATTACCAAAATAGGAGTAAAACATAGGACTTGTACAAAAATAGGAGTAGAGTTTTAAAATTCCCAAAATAGGAGTATTTTTTGTAAATGGACAAATATACCCTGCATGTTGCTGCCTGCTGCTACAGTTTCGTCGCCAGCCAGACTTCGCCGGACTGCCATCGGCCGCCGGAGCTCCGGCGACCAGCGCCGGAAAATTTTCCAGATTTTTCCCTTGGAAGTTTCCCAGAATTTCTACCGCCGAACGTCGCCGGCCGCCGCCACCGCCGGAATCTTCTGCCGCTACCGCCGGACTGCCCCGCTAGCAACGGACTGCCTTGGTTGTCCAAGGGACCTAGGGGGGGGGGGCAATGATTAATTAGAATAAAGGTTTCTGCCGGCCGCCGGAGCTCCACCGCCGGCCGCCGCCGCCTCCCACCGCCCCGCCACCGATGGACCGCCGTTGTTGCCCAAGGGAACTAGGGGGGCAATAATTAATTACAATATGGGTAATTAGGGGTTAAAATTAATGTTTGCTCCTATTTGGAGAATTTTAGAAGTTAACTCATATTTAGGGAAATGTGGTATGTTTTACTCCTATTGGGAGCAATTTCTCTAAATTCTTTGGATTTAAATTATGTTGTATAATAATCTTTTTATATGAATTATATTGTTGTTTTGTCTATTTGAAGGCGTGTTATCCCAAACAATCCCTCTTCAAATCAATTTCAAGTGAAGACAGGTATTTGTTCAATATGAATTAATTTTCAGTTATATATGTTGTTATGTAATTATTTGCCTCACCAGACTATTTATTTCATGCCTTTCATTTATGCTAAGAAGGTTGTGACTATAAATATACGGAGTATTATTAAATTTTTTCAACTTTTGTAAATTTCTTCATGTTCTTGAAAAATATCTCTCTCAACTGAGATTTTTAGTAATGATTGTAAACTGGATTTTAACAAACTATGTCTAAATTTGAAACTTCTCCATCTAAAATCTTTATAAAATTCTCCGTTATCTTTTATTTTAAAAAATCCGAAATTCCAATTCATGATTTTTTAAAATCTTTCTATTTTTAGAAGTGACTAACAGATTTGCACATCGGTATAAAAAAGTGCATATCAGATTCATTCAAAAAGAAAAGCATTATGCATGTCAGATTCATTCAAAAAGAAAAGGATTATGCATATCAGACAGACAGGTACATGCTATTAACGCTGAATACTGGCACTTTATTGCATATAATGATGGATTAACAAAGTATTTAGTATTGATGGATCGGATTAACATTGAACATGAAAAAGTAAATTTATATTAAAAAAAATAGAACCAAAATTGGAATAAATACCTATTTTCGGAGTTATTACAACGGAAATTGTCCTAAATAGGACTAAAAAGTTCCTAAAAAGCACAAATAGGACTACTATTTTTAAAATTCCCTAAATAGGACTAAACATTGATTTTCTACCCTAAATACCCCTAAGAGTATTAATTCATAATGAAATGCTTTAATTCATAATAAAATCACAAAAAACGTAAAAAAATATTTAAAAAACGTAAAAAAATTAAAAAAAATTTATAAAACATTTATAAAATAAAAAATTTAATTTGTTATTTTTTTAATTTTTTTAAAAAATAATAAAAAATAGTAAAAACCCATAAAAAATGAAAAAAATTATGGATACCTTTCTCACCGCCTCCCGCCGCCTCCCAGCACCACCACCTCCGATTGGTGAAATTTCTTCCACTTTTGGTAAAAAAATGCCATATTTTTCTGAAAATGCCAAAAAGATGGCATAATTACTCTTCAATATGCCAACATTTTCATTGATTATGCCATCATTATGGCATTATTTAAAATGTTGGCATATTTTTGTCCGGTGATGGGAGATGGTGGTGTTGGGGGTGGCAGGGGTGGTAATGTGTTTTTTTTAATTTTATGATTTTTTTATTTATTTTTTATTTATTTTTTAAAATTTTTTTTTTATTTTTTAAAAAAAAATATTTTTATTAATTTTCTATTATTTTTTTTACGATTTTTAGTATTTTTTTTTATTTTTATTAATTTTTTTATGATTTTATTATTAATTAAAACATTTCACAAGTTACACGGGTATATTTGTCCAAACACACATAAATAGTCCTATTAAGGGAATTTAAAAAATGTAGTCCTATTTGTGCAATTTTTCCACTTTTTAGTCCTATTTAGGGAATTCACTCTTATTACAAATCTTGAATATATACGGTTGTTGTTATTTTATGATTTTTTTGGCAAAAATATCAATATGATTTATTAAACTGCTATTTATATTTTTGAGTTGAGCCATATAAATACTACTTATATTCTTTGGTTAAAAAAAGTACATAACTTTAGAATAAAAAAGCAGCTTAAAAATGTGTAAGATTCATGAAATTTTGTTTTTTACTCGAGATTTATATTTACCCGTTATTATATTTTTACCTGTTATTATACCACTCTGTTCCCTTCGATGAATATTAAATTTCACAAAAAAAACAAATTTTGAATTCTGGCAGATTATTAGTATCTCATTTTTGTATCCATGTAACAATTAAAGTTTGATCTAAAAGGTTTATACTTTGCAAAGCAAAGATTTTGAACACATCAACCTCATGAACATATTCACAATTAGGGCTGGTTCGGTATGGCATACCGAAAAATTTGTGTCATACCGTATACCGTACCGAAATACCGGTATATGAAAAGGGCATACCGTTGCCGTACCGAAATTTCGGTATACCGAACCTTCGGTATACCGAAATTTCGGTAACCCCAAATGGCATACTGATGCCGTACCGAATATTCGGTACAGTGGAGGATCGATTGTGGTGGAAGTATAGGCAAACATGAGTTATTGTATCCACCAGCGGAATATCGAACTTGGGAAGAAGAATGGAGTCCTGTTGGAATTTGGAATCAGGGTGGCCGTTTGCATCTGTTGGCATTTCCAGATATTAAGAAGTATCGCGCTATTGGTTGCTGCGGAACTCGTCGTTTTTCGGGTGAAGACAACTATAAACCATATCTTGTTTCCGTTGATTTGGAAACGCAGGAAATGAAGCTCATTTATTTGGCTCAGGAAATCAAGTGTGTTAAAATTGTTTCAAATTCATCGGGAAAGTACGTTCAAGTTTTATCCGAGAGCAGTATTGAAACAACCCAATTATGGATGGATACCTTGCCATCATGCCAAGCTTATGCTCGTATGTACAACCCAAGTCTAAAACTGCCATAGATGATGACATTTAGTGAGTATTATTTAATTTTAGTAATGTTTCTTTTCACTTCCCCTTGAACTTGAGAGCTACGAAGTATTATTTGACTTTATTATGATATATGATATGATAATAAAGGTTTCATTTAGTGCAACCTTGAATTTAGTGTTTTATGTTATGGACTATGTCATGTGGAGCTACTGTTTTAACTAGAATTGCTGTCATTGAATATCCTATCTTTTCTTCCCTCTATTGCCATCAAAGTTTTTGTTTATATAATCATTTAATTTATTTTTAAAATTAATAGAAATTATAAAATCCTAAAGGGCAGAAATCATAAAATCCGAAACTGTTATAAACTGTGACTATTTTTAGTGCACTGTTTTACTGCTAATTAATCTGATATGTAGTACTTCGTAAAATAGTATTTGAAATTACAAAAGAGAGTTCTATAAGCATTATTGACAAGGGCGGAGCCAGACTTCAGTACAAGGGGGCCGTAATGTAATACAAGTTCTAAAATATAAAGGAAAATTCGCAATTTTAGTCCCTTGAATTTACTCCGTGCCCGTTTTTAGTTCTGATACTTCATTCGCTCGTAAATTTGGTCATTTAATTAAGAATTGTTTACAATTAAGTACTTCCCCATCGGAAAGTACACTTTCTTACAGATAATTCATCGCAAAGTATACCGCCTATGTCAATTTGTTTGCCATAAAGTGAACTTTCAAGAGGAAAATTCCTTAAACTACAGAGACTTATTAGTTAGAGCACCTAATTAATCCGTATGTGAGTAAAGTTATTGAACTAATAATAAGGACAACCAAAAAATATAGGACTAAAATTGCAAATCTCCCAAATATGAAGTATAATATCTAAAAATTGGAGACATAAGGCTTGCCAAAATGCCTTCATAATTTTTATTTGAGGGGGTCAAGTAATTTCTATTGGTAATATATTTAAAAAAAATTAAAAAGTGGGAGGGGTCATGGCCCCCTAGACCTAATATATAAAATGTATCAAAAAAATGTAGCTATTGACTAGAGCATTAACTTATTATAAGGGTATCATCATGGTCACATTTAATATAAAATTGAGCATAATATTGTCATTAATGTTACTCTGCACTATTATAGTCACTAAAACTTTAAAATCGTGTTTTTTCATTGTCTTCGATTTAGTGCAACATATTGAATTTTACACTATTCATATGTTTTATTTTGACTACGTTTAATTAAATAATGTATTAATATATTTTTTTGAATTTTTTTTTTGATAAATTTGTCTCATTGTCAATTTTAAAAATTTATTTTTCTAATTTTTTTTACTAATAAAATATTGTATATATTAATGGTCAAAGTTGTGCCTCGACAAGTGTGAAATGTTGACCGGTTGCACTTATTTAAGAACGGAGGAAGTATATTAATCATTATTGCCTTGTAAAGCCACTAAATAACAATATAAAAAATAGCTATTGTTGTGAACAAACAAGTCTTGTCCACTACTTAAAATGTTTTTTATTATATTGGTTTAGGCCTAGACCGTAAGATCTAACTTCGCCATTGTAAAATACAAATCAAATTAGATCAGACCAACTTAGACCAGAATATAGTGCACGTGGTCTATATCTACTTATATATAATTTGTGAAAGAAAGTTACTTTGGGCTTTTTCCCGTTACTACAGTGCTACGGAAGTCTTCCTTTTGCGCACGGATCAACTGACGGACAACTTCCGTTTTCTTTCCTCTTCTTTCGGCCACCGCCATTTTGGCTTACCCGGGAAAAAATATCAAGCCAGGGGGAATGATTAAAGGTAGGATGATTGGTGGATACAAAATATCTCTGACGTTGTTCTGTCCTCATCCACTTAATCTGTGTGCATTTCTCGTTTTCAGTGTTTACCGACCTACAGCTGACTCCTACAAGATGGGGTGGCTTCTTTGATTCTTTCGTTGTTCCCTTCTCTGCGCTTGTTTTCTCTTTGCCTCTGCTTACCGAGTTCCAAGCCTGTGAGTTTTCTTGATCTTTCCTTATTTTTCGCTCGTTCTCTTTGTCGCATTTGTTTTTGTTCTTCGGTTCACCACCGTTCGTTTTTTTGGGGTTCTTGGTTGGCCCTTTTCCTGGGCGTTTTGAAGTATTTGCTTTCTGTTTCTGCCTTTGTTATAAAGCTGGTTGTATTTCTTTGGTGTGTGTGTTCTTGTGATGGAGTGTTTCTTAGGCGTTTGCCCTGTTTCATTGCTACTCCGGATGTGTTATGTGCTGTTGCAGGGGAGCCCTCTTTTGAGATGACCTTATGTGGGTTTTTTTTGGTGTGTATTTCTTCGGTTAGAGTGGGTATTCTTTTCTATGCATTTGGGTATGTTTAGGGTGGGCCAGTTCTGGTTTTATGGGTTGAGTGAATTGATCCCTTTGTGAATTTCCAGGAAAACTATGTGTCCTATGTATGTTTGATATTTTGAGGTGGTTGGTCTGAAAGCAGAAGCTGTCTTGAGATATGGAAATGGTTTATGGCCAGTTCCCGTGCGGGCCTATACTTTTGGGGAAGAATTTGCCAATTTCTTGGTGGACAACGGCATTCGACTTGATGTTTCCATCCTACTACGCCATATTGGCAACTTCATGTTTGATGTCCTTGTGTTTGACACGGCAGGTCACTCCCGGAACTTGGGTGAACCCCCCAACGATGCGTTTGACCCTGCACTGCCTGACAGTATATTTCTTGCATATTCATATTGCCTTTTCATGTACAACCCTTTTCAGATTAGCCCTTTATATGCATATATAATGCTCTTTGTTTTGTTTCCCTCGCAGCTCACTTCTTTGTTTACGTGAAATCTGCGTTGGCTGGCTGCTCCTACACACAATTGTTTCGTTCATCATCGTTCCTTTATATCCCCACCAAAACTGAAACGGTACAGTCTCTTATACGTTCATTATTATTTCCAATTCTCTTGTTAGGATCAAACATCATTGCTCTTATCACTGTAGGAAACATGTGTTGAATTTCTGAGCTCGTGCTGTGATCTAAAGGGCCGGGTACTAATCATGCATGGTGAAGCACAGGACCCTTTCTTTGCTAATGAGACAGATCTCCTCCAAGTGATTCTGTTAGTCCCTATTCTAAACAATCAAACAATCATAGAACAGTGGAAGAAGAAGCAGATAGATTTCTATTCATATCAATATATCGAGAACTTTGGTACACCGTGTAAACCGGCCGCTGCTCTCCCTCTAGAGAGAGAGAGAGCAGCGTAAAAGCTAATCTATTCTCTATTCTGCCTCTGTGCTCTATGCCTTAGTTTTTCTCATAAGTTAGCCTCCTTTTATAGGCTAACTTATGGCTTACAAGAGAGGCTAATGGGCTAATATTCAATGGTGGCCCATATTACACATTTAACTAACAACTACACAAATACAAATACATCTAACTAGATTGGACACCAGAAAAAGTCCTAACAATCTCCCCCTTGGTGTTCAATCTTTTTTGATCAGCATTGCAGCGCAGATGTCTTTGTCTTTGTGTTCAGTTGCTCCTCAATGCAGCTCAGCTTCCTTTGTCTTTGCGCTCGGCTTCTTGAAAAGGCTTTTTGAAGAAATCCTTGCAATCTCCCCTTTGATGTCTTCATGGCAATTTGTTCTTTGATGCCGGGGAGTTGAAGAATCTTCAGGATGTAGCTTGTGATCTTTACCTTTCAGAAGTTGCTCTTGATAAGCATTAATGAATTCCGATGGCGCCTCTGGAATGAGTGTTCAGGTGATATACAGGCGCACACAGAATTCATCTTCAGAACTTGAATACTTGACCTTTGTCTCCTCAAAGTTTACATTGCACAGCGGAAAAATTATTGTCTTTGAGGAGATCTCGTCAGTGGCACAGCGGAATAAGATAGTTGACTTGTGAGCGTAGCTGACCATTTGACTTGAAGCTGGCTTGGCCATTTAGCAGTAGAGATAGTGGAGAAAGTGTCCAAAAATGATTTGTTGATAGTGAACAACATGTGGACTACTCTCCCCCTCATGACGATCCGATGAATCGGGGCGTCATGCCTTTATTCTTTTATTCTGGGTAACAAAATTGAAAACAAACAGAAAAGTTAAAGGATAAAGACCGGATACACAGAAGTGTTCCGTTAACACAACATCAATGTAAACACTGATGTGTGGCCTGTATAAAATGATAGAAGCATTAAAGCTCTAACAGGACTTCCAACCAATCATTATGAAGCATCTGAAGTAGATGTCACTCTGGTTGTTAAGGCATGATCATAAAGATCAGCAATGAAAGTGGTAGCCCCCCGAGGTCGTGAAGACGCTCGTTATCATCACTATAGAGATAAACTCTAAAGCGATGGCCTGAACGTGTTGGTGATTTCTATGTTGCAACAGCAGGACTTCCTTCCAATCATCGGTCTATCTATAGTAGATGAGCCCTATGGAAGTTCTCGCATGGTCACTTGGACCTGCAACTGACTCAAAAATGTGTCTGTGTCCTAGAAAATTCAAAAACATTTGGGAGTGAGATAACTAGACACAGTGTGATCAATGAAAGTCCAGTGGCATGGGGCTGAGGCCACTGTAGTCAGTATCACTTGCCTCGGAAGGAGACAGTAATGAGAGATGAGGTTCCCCGTGAAATATGATTGAACACTTGTCTGTTGGGAGACAAATGAGTGGCCTTGGGTAGGGTTATGCATGCACTGTTGGACAAGATGCAGTGACTTCTACCCGGGATCTGAATAAATTCAGTCCTGAACCTATGGGGATTGTCCAGAGTATTTGAGTGACTGGGAGTAAATGTTCAATTGATAGCAGGCAGTTGAGGTAGCAGACTTATCATTGATTATTGTTCTCTTGCTCGATTGAGCCTACTGCTTCCTAACGCTCATAGAGTTCACTCACTCATCCATTCACTCGCTTACTCTTGACTTTGTCCCTTGGGTAGGCTTAGTTGGGTTTACTAAGCCATTAGGACTTCTCTCTCATTCCTCTCTCATTCCTTTGTTTTTTTTTTCTCTGTGCTCCCCCTCAACTGAAGCACTCGGTATGCTTTTTCATCGTTCGGTACCGAGGAGGATAAAATTGAAAACTCCCCCTCAAATGTTGCATCCTTTGAGAGAATCCTTGCTTTGTCGTCGTGTGGCGCCAGGAGGAGAAAGCTGTAGCTCACCCTCAGATTGTGCAAGGTTGATTGCTCACAGCTTGATATACCTGCCA